TTGACAATTGGATAAAAGTTAGAATTACACTTTATATTATTGTTGCAATCATTTGTTGAATACTTAAGTGATTTAATGCATGTAACTGAGACTTATTCTATTCACAAAGATATTTAGTTAGTTGATTTGGCTGGATAAAAATGATTTGATAAGATTAATTTGAAATCGAGAGTGGTAAATATATTAAATTAGTGAGTTTGATCGAATACAATTTTAAAAATCGAACTTGAGTAGCAAGGTTAAAGGTGATGATTACATTGAAATCGGGAGTCCTAAAACCTTTTACACATCAGATAAAAATCATAATTGCTACTTGTACACATTTAATTGATTACCTTAGACTTATAGTATTTAGGATAATAATTAAAAATCATTATCAATTTATTTTACAATAGTAGAAATGAGGAATACTTAAACCTATAGTTAGATGGATAGTCCTCATGGAATGATAATTTGACCTCTTATGTCCACATGTTAATCGATTTAATGCACTTGTGATATAACTAATGCATATGGTCAGATTTGGGGTGGGGTTGGGGGTAGCTCAGCCTAGTTCTTGACCAGATGCAATAGCGGTTAATTTGTTTTTTTTTTTTTTTTTTTTTTCTTTAGTCTGCTTCCAAAATTAAGTCCTTGTTTGAGCCCCATTTCGGAGGGAAAAACGTATTTTTGAATAGTGTATTGATGATAAATTTGTGGTTAAAAAATAAGAATTTCTTTGAATTCTTGTGTAATATTATTTGATTAAAGAATGTATGATAGAAATAATATTAAAACATTGTTTATGAATGTATTTTTTTAACGAATGGGGCTCAAACAAGTGCTAAACAAATTCCAAGATCCACGGACACTCTTGTGGGACACTTAAAATCAACCGCGTTATCATCCTAAGTCTTGTAATGATGTTAATTGACTTTGTATATTTACTGGACAAAGAAAGTCTTTAAATGAAGGTCAAACTACAGCAGGCATCTCAAGATTTGTGGATTCTCTTCTGTGACACATAAAATTAACCTTGATTTTTTTAGATCACTTATTATAGACATTGACATCATCATCTTCATAGAAAATAGGTGGACCGTCACAACTATCATCACAAAAATCTATACATTTTTCTATTTCTTCATCGAAGATTGGAGAACCATCATAACTGTTATTACGAAAATAAACAAATTCTTTGATTTCTTCGTAAAAAATTGGAGGACTACCGTTACTGAAATCCATAAATTCTTTCACCTTTGAATTAGGGCCGGAATGGTTAGGTTTGGTTCGATTTTAAAGAGAACCAAATCGAATCAAAATATTTGAGCATTTAGTAAATGGAATCGTTAGGTCTAAATTTAATTATGGAACTGTTTAGTTCGATTCCATACCATAATAAATTTTTTTGACACTTATAGCAACGCTACATTAACCTAAATAATGATATATTCAATTTTATCTTTTACAACAACACTATATCAACACCTACAAACTAGCGTAGTTCAATTCAAAAATATATAAATAAAAAGTTTTCTAATAAGATTCATTCACCAATATGTACAAATGTCCAGATCAAATTTGAAGAAATTTAAAGAATGGGGCACAAAATTGTAAAATGAAGAGAGGCGCCACAACTCAACTTTGATTATTTGAGAAACGACTGAATAATTGAGAAAAATTGGGTTACTAAATTTTTATTCTCTTGAAATTTGAATTTCAAAGTTGCTTTTGCACTAAAAATAGGTAAATGATACTTTGGGCTCAATTAATTATTTGGCAAATGAAATAGCCTCAACTAATTAGTTGGCAAATAAAACATGAAAAAATTAAAATAATTTGGCTTGTTTAATATAAAAAAAAATTTAAAAATTAGAGAAATTTGGTTCTTGATCAAGAACTGAAAATCGAACCACACATGTTGGTTCTCGATTTTGATATTCATTTTGGTATTGAACTTTAGAAGAATCACTTGGTTTGATTCCGGGTCAGAAGTTTTATCTAGCCCTACTTTGAATTATTGGAAGGAGAAAAAAGGGTTTCATCCTAAAATCAAACTTCTACCATTTGATTTCATGAACACCAATTCATCTTTATAAAAAACGAATATCGCTCTGATACCATCTAATGTAGTAAGGTGGAAGCGAGAAAAAATGTTGACATGAACAAATTATCGAAGTTTGGTTGATTGCAAATTAATGTTTTATAGTTCCTGTTGATTTTTAATAATATTAGAAACCTAGACAATGAAAACTCTTTGATTTATGTATGAATATAGTGGATTACAAATCGTTGATTTTAAATATGAAATACTGAAAATTTAAGAAACGGAGAAGATATTAACAATTAATCTTTTATTTCAATTCAAAAACTGCCTCCTTCCATGATGGCTTGCAACCTTATTTAAAAACTGGATAATTATAAAAATCTAAATAGTTGTTGAAATTAAAAGATAATGACGCTGTAATATTCAAAATTAGAAAACAATAAAAAGAATTAACATTTGAATTATTTAATAAATAAATATTGAGCATGACCATCAAACCAGCGTTCACTGCATAGCCAGGGTTCATAAATCTTTATCCCGTCATCCCCACACGAAGCCAATCCCAAAAATGACCCTCCGACGACACTTCCATTCCGTTAAAGTTCTAATCCTCTATATATTTATCGTCTGTATTCCCCATTTCAGCGATCTCGCAATGTTGATGCTGACCATCATATGTATACAAGGTCCTCCAACATTCACTGCCTATGTCCTTCCAATTCTTTCATTCCACATTGTAGTACATGCCTTATTTGCCAACACAATTGGGATTGTGCATCCAAGCCCAAGAAGAAGCCCTTGAAAAATCAAATTTTGAAAAATCCATAATTCCTGCTGGCTTTACTAGTACAATAAACTCTTTCTTGAACGTCCCAGGCATATATTCTGTTGCAATCTGCCTTGCTACCAAAAGAGAAGACAAATAGATTATGGGTTCTCTTTGTTGGGACTTTACTTAACCATACACAGCGGAAAATAAAACAGATTTCAATTCCCACCAAGGATTTGCTTTGTGTTTAGATAAAAATTGTGATAGAAAATTATACTTTCGTTGAATTATGCAAACCTTTTCTTTTTCTTTTGTTCTAGCAACCTTGATTTACTATCCACAACTGCGTAATTGTCTAGCCTCTAATGAAAATTCGCATAACAAACAAGATTGAGAGAGAAACAGAATTTTCTTTTCTTGTGCTAACAAGAATAATGAAATTCTCTACAATTTTTAGACCCTAGCAACTTATTTACAGAAGCCCAATCGGGCTTAGCCCGTCTCCTGATTCGGTCCAATATTTAATTAAACCATTTAATTAAATTTGCTCCATAAATTAATTATTTCAATCGGGCCTATCAATAAGAAAATTAATTAATTTATCAAATGCTTACTAAATTAATTAATTGATAAATCACAATTTTCTAGTTCTCATTTTATGTGTGACTCATCATGTTCCTAATCACGATGTCTAACTACGTGAATTATTATTTTAATATAATCAAAATCGATAAATTAAAACACTATTTTAGTTTATTACCAATTCACATTCGTCATCCCATATTGAAATCTAGTACTGTATCAGGGCAATACATGTAATTGTAAATGCACGTGATATGACAAAACCAAACTTGTTCGTTTACCATGAAACTATAATCCACAATGGCTTTGATTGGATCACACCGTACCGAAGCGTGCCCAGTTTAGGATTTGCAGGATCGTCAGATGGATTTGTTACCACATATGTAGCCCCTTTCTTTCCTCCGATAGCGTTTTTGCCTAAGCCTACGGCGCAATCCGCCAGTGCACGGTTGTTGGCCGACCAATAGGCTTTTCCTCGCCAACAAGAGTCTATAACATTCATGACTTTCTTGTTTGAATAATAATCAGCTAGTAATGGGGATATGCTTGAAACTAGAAGACTGAGAATCAATGAGAGGGTGACTGTGGATGCCATTAATTTGTGTAGTAAGACTTTAGGTAACAATGTGTTACGAAAATGGTTGATGTGTGCGCATTTCTTTCTTTGTTTTATATAAACACACACACATAAGTACGATTGATGATCAAGGTATAATGATTTAATCCGTGGCATTGTAGTAAGGACGTTGGGGCTTGGCTTCTATATGTATTACTCTGTATTAAGAACAAAATTTTCCCTTTTTCATAGGAGCACTTCTACACTAATAGATTGATGGCTCACATAATTAATACAGACAAGGGGTGGAAGATTTTTTTTCGCATTATTTTATCAAAACATGGGGCCCACACACATGGTAGTCTTCTGGTAAAATTCTATGAAGAATATTTTTGTACAAATGGAAATAACCTTTTCATAATCTTAACCACACATCTTGCTAGGTTTCAGCCATGCATATTAGTTTCAGATGTGACAAAGCTTGTCTTTTCATATTTCTTTCTTCTCTATGTCTGGGGTTAAAAAATTCAAACTCATTTACAATTTATTTTAAGTTTGGAAATTGGGAATTATCTATGCAACTAGAAAAAGATAAATTGATCCCACCCTACAATTTCATGGACAGTGTTATTGATGGAAAGAAGAAAAATGGCTACTCCCAGAAAACCAATAGCCTTAAGGTCAAATTCATGGGCTCATTTAGCATGAATTTCTTGTGATAGCAGCTTATGATTTTTACTTTCTATGCATGATTTTCTTGATAAATGGCATAACAACTGCTCCCAGAAAACCAACAGCCTTAAGGTCAAAATGACATCTTGTCGTTTCTAAAATTCAATCTAATTCACAGCCTTTTTAGGTGAAGATTGGACTGCTTACTTAAAGACTCTTAAATTCATGGAGTCACTAGTGGACCAATATATAGTTGGTATGTTGCATGTCCATCAGAGATCCAGAAAACCTGGGTTAAATATTTTGGGGTTTACTTCTTCTGTATGTACTCAAATCGGATGAAAGCAATAGACTAACAATAGCAATACAAAAGTGGAACTTCTTGTTTACTCAGCTAAAGCAATACTTTCTTTTGTATTAATATTGATTAATTTACCATCAAAATGAAAAATATATACACACATATAGAGAAAAAGGCTTCTATCGACCTTGTAATAATGTTACAGTAATTTCATTAGAAGTAGGAGGCTTATTTCCTGTTGATGAAGACGTAGCCATGTCAATAAGAGATCTTTCAGAGTAAAAACCAGGTTGTTTAGGTTGAGAAACCACTGGGTGCTCGATGTCTAACATTAATAAAACATTAGACATGGTAGGCCTATCTTCGGGGCGTTGTTGTACACACAGCAAGCCGACATGGATACATCTTAACACTTCAGATTCTGAATTGAGAATCACTAATGAGGCATCCAAAAGATCCATAGGATTTCCTTCCGTCCATAGATTCCAAGCCTATGGCAATCAAAAATCACGTAAAATTAGTGACTTAGTATGCTTATCGCTTGTAAAGAAATTATTGTATTTTAAACTCACATGTCCCAAGAGGTTGAGGTCGTGATCAGGATGATGAAATCCTCTATTTTTCTTCCCACTTACTATCTCCAAAACGAGCACTCCAAAGCTAAACACATCGGATTTAATCGAAAAAAGTCCATCTATAGCATATTCAGGAGCCATGTATCCGCTACACAAATAATAAAACAAGTTTTAGGAAAAATACAAACCAAGACAGAGTACAAAAGGAGGAAAGAAGCACGCTAGCTTACTAAGTGCCCATGACTCTTTTTGTATTTTCTTCATATTGATCCCCTCCAAATGTTCTTGCCAAGCCGAAGTCTGAGATTTTAGGATTCATATCTTTATCCAGAAGAATATTACTTGCTTTCAGATCCCTATGAATTATTCTCAACCTTGAATCACGATGGAGGTAGAGAAGCCCCCGGGCAATTCCCGCTATAATGTCAAAACGCTTCTGCCAACTTAGAGTTGTATCTTTTGTTTGATCTACGTAGATTGATCAAGGCATTCGAAAATTTAGTTCTGAAATCCTAAAATTGATAGTCGAGATGTAAGATTAATTGTTGAAAGACTTACTGAAAATGAACAAGTCCAGACTCTGGTTGGGCATGTATTCGTAAACTAACATTCTCTCTTCTCCATGAATGCAGCAACCCAGTAGCTTAACTAGATTCCTATGCTGTAGTTTCACGATCAAGATAACTTCATTCTTGAACTCTTTAAGGCCTTGTCCAGAATCTTTGGAAAGTCTTTTAACTGCTATTTCTTTTCCCGTTGGGAGGACACCCTGTGGGGAACGATGAAATTCAAAAATCAGTCAACTGGTCGATAAGATATGTAATAAAAAAATATTTTTCAAATAAAATAAATATATACTGACCGAAAACTACCTTATAAACTGGGCCAAAACCACCTTGCCCAATTTTATTTGTAAATGAAAATTCATTAGTTGCAGTTGAAATTGTGACAAAACTGAATAAAGGTAACTCCAGAGTTTCATCTCCAATGCTTTGATTGATATCTTGGTTTGCATTATCATAGATATCTTGGTTTGGATTATCACATTGCTGATTGGCCTGATCTGCCAAAGCTGACATTATTAACAAGGTGTCAGTACAGCAATTCACAGTAGATCACAATAAAACTTAAATAACCTTTGTACATGTTCTTGCAATGTTTACTAGATTTAGTGCAAATTATGTCAATAATGTTCAATAGGGGCACTGAAACTAATGTATTCCAGATGTAAGTGGAAACGATCATATTAAGAAAATAAAGAAAAAAAGATAGAACTTGAAAATTCTGCACTTCTGTGTGACAATCAGAAAGCTGTATACTGTTAATTTTCGAAACTGCTATAGTTAGAACTCTGGCTCTATACTAAGAAAGCCATTGAGAGAGGAAGTAATAAAATTGCAGATCAGAACTATCTTCTTGCGTAAAGTACCAAAACTTATCCGGCAAAATTACTTTTAAGGTTAAATTTTTAGTCTGCAAAGGTCTTTATACAATCTGTTGATTCAAATTCTTCTGCGGAATCAAAGTTAAAGATGTAAATTAGGAACTTTGTATTAAAAGGTATTCTGCTCTCAAATGGCCTTTATCGCGTCACCTAAGAGAAAATCCATCACCCGGTCATAATATTTCACAATTATGTTAACAAATAGCTTTTCTTATTGATTTTTCTCCTTGATTGTACCTATTTTATGTGATTTATAATTATCGGTAGTCACCATGCTCTTCCTAATGAATAGTAATTTCCAGATAGCTGAAATCTTGGCTAAACTCAATAGGCTCAGATTTCTAAGGATGATCTTAGCCTATTTCCTTAACAAAACCCGATTACTGTTTGATGCCGTATGGTGGCTTCAACCACGAAGAAAAAGAAAAAGAAAATGATGCCGTATGGTGGCTTCAACCACGAAAAACTGTCCTAAGTCAAAGATCTGGAATAACGAACTTTGAAGAAAAATCAGCTAATGCGGCATGCTATTGAAAATATGATTATTTGGGTATAAATAATTACTGTTTGATAGCAACAGAGGCATTTTGTCAAACATTTCAAGAGCATCAAATGAATAAAAAATGGGTCAAAAGAACATTAATTTTATAATGTGGTGGATATGCTCACCTCTTCTAAGGTTAGCAGTCTTCTTACGGTAAGCAAACCAACTGATTACACCCAGCAGAACCAGGAAGGAAATCCCGGCCACTGATGCTAGCACGGCGGTTCTCTTAGATTTGTTGCTCGAATCTTTGGATCACCCGAAAATAAGTTCAGAGCATGTTTGATTATATTTAAATTACTTTACAAGAAAAGTAACTTTTTGTTGAAATCGTTATTAGTAGAACACTTTTGAACTTTTAGACAAGACGGTTCAATAAATTAAAACTTACCGAGTTCTGAAGCAGGCATCCTAACGTACAGGTCCTGCCCACCTTCAGAATACTTTCTGATGTCAAGCAAGTCCCCAAACCATTCCATACATCCACTGAATTGTGTCATAGCATAAGCCACGCACGAACAATTTCTCGAACAAGTAGCCTCGCATTCGAACAGATTCATTGCACTTATATTCACTGAAAAATTCGTAGGGTCGGGCAATTTTAGTCCCGAAAACTTTCTGAATCCGCTACTGGTACTACAGTTCAACGGCGTCCTCCTAATGCATCCAGCTGATCGATCAAACTGTGCCCAAGCCTCTCTCTGCCTGGGCACAAACCCAGATAGGCAATCACAACTTAGTGAATTAGAAAAGGTACAAACCCCGAAATTTCCACAGCTTGCATAATTATCACAAGAATCTGATTGCATTGTGGCTATGTTATTCCAGTGGTCCTGGCTCCATGTGAGGTGCTGGACGAGGCCTGACTCGTTCATCACAAACCTTGATATGATAGAAACATCAACGTTTTCAAATGCATAATACAAATTGTCTGAATCGAACACAACAATTGGATTAAAAACTGAATTTTTTCGCAGAACAGGTTGGCCACCAAATCGAACACCATCCCAAGGTCCGCTTCTGAATTGAACTTGCGATCCTCGGCGAAGAACTATTGAAGGCAACCCACGACGGTCCATTCTGTATGTATAGTCACCCGTAGATGGATCCTGTGAACTTCTCCTTGAGGTTAAGTACAATTCTTCATTTGTTCTAAGGTTCCATCCCAGCTTCATGCCTGGAATTAGTGTATCACGGGGATAATCAAAGCTTTGCCACACATAGTTATCCGGATTATTGTCAGTACTACTTTTCAGGACAAGGTTTCCACTGTCCAGGATTTGCAAGACTGGATTACTTACTGTTCTTGATGTTATATTTGCAGTCCAAATGATACTTGATTGGTTTCTGTTGCTGGTGATAATGATGTTTCCATCAGGAGTGATTGTGAGAATCCCGGAAGAGTCCGTCAATGGATTGTTATTGTTTGCCACCCACACCACAGTTCGTTCTGGGACTTTCTTGAACCAGATTCCGATGTATCGGCTGTTGGAATTCCATGGACTAAAGAAACCTAATTCAAAGGTTTGGCTTGCAGAAACAAGCGTAGTATTATTATCCAAGAGAGTCTGATTTGGAGCTAAGCTGTCAACAGCTATGGAGGATCTGAAGAAGAAGGAGAAGACGGCAAAGAAAACGAAGAACGTCCGATCATATTTCATGATCTTGAATTATGAATAACCAAGTCATGCAGTCATGTTTAAATATAGACAAAAACTGAATCTAAACTTTCAAAGCGTGGAAATGTCCCACGAGGAGCTGACTTCAAAGGTTAAAACAAGAAGAAAATCTTTCCCCTTTATGTAACTTAAATTGGAAATCGAGCCGCCTAAAGAGACCTTTTTTTAGGTTAAATCGTCAAAATCTAGTATTTTAATTCTGGAGTTTGACTGAAAAGGAATGGTCGCAGATATGGGAAAGGCAAATCCAACGGCCAATTTATTACAAACTTATTGGTGGACCCAAAAAGATGAATTTTTGCATTGGACTCCTTAACTTTTAGCTTCATCCATAGGGGATACATTATCAAATTCAAGATCTTGTATTTCTTTTCCTAGTAATGCTATTTATAGTCACTGACTGCGATAGTCTCCCTACGTGACATCCAATGTGATGGTTTGCGATTTGATTTATTAATGTAGTAGGTTTTTCCTTACCTTATATATTAAATCACAAACCGTCACATGGCGATTGCAACAGTGAATGACTGCAAATAGTATTTTTTTTCTTTTTCATATACTAGCCTTGGGATCCCACCCACTCAACTTATTGTTGGCCCTTTCCAAATGGAGCAGGGATTCTTCGGTTGTCAAAAATCAAGGTCCCCTAGACTCTCAAAGCAAGCAATACTCTAATACCGTATCATGAAAACTTTGGACGAAATAAAAGATGGTGAAGGCCATGACAAACTAACCTCATTGTCATCCATATATTTGTGATGCCAATAAAGTTTAGTAGAAAACTTTTTAGAATGTTTATTTTCATAACTCTATAGATTGCAATAATACTAACAACTTTGAATGCTTGATGTACAAATGTTATCGAACATTTCCGTCACATCCAGTGATGATACATAGATTTCATGTCAAGAATTCAGCCAAGTCCTACATACCGGCAAAAGATCTGTACTAACATGATGGAAAATCAAGAAATTTGGCCGAACATAATAACACAATTTATCTATTGCGGCGGTCGACAGTCGACGGTCAATAGCCACCACAGCTCATGACAATTCCCAGATCTGTCACTCTCCATGTCATGCCAATGCCTCTCATCTTTAATCCAAAAAATAAATGTTTCAAAAAAGAAATTGTTTGAAATAATCTATAATAGAATTATCTAGCTACCAATATACAGACTCTTACTAAAATTGTTGGATAAAATTAGTCGTAAATACTTTTAAAATAATAAAATGTAGAAAATAAGAAAATGTATCGATAATAAAAATAGAAGAGCCAGCCTAACGTTTCTCTGCCGTGCTGGCATTGGGTGACCGCACATGCACCAATGTCCTATTTCAAGGCACATTTTCATCCCAGTGCCTATTGTTGCTTGTTTCTTTTGAATTTATTTTTTTAAATTCGATTTTTAAAGACACGTTTCAATAACTGTGACTTTTAGGAAATGTAGTTTAGGAATCCTTAAATATATTCTAGTTTACTTCGATCTATGTTTCCACATGCTTATCCATGCTTTCAAAATCGATAAATCATCGTTAATTGAATGGAGTTTTATCTAATTCAGTATAAAAATAATAATAATTTTGGTAAAGTCAGAACTTGGATGCATTTGGAGTAAAGATAAAGGTTATCGAGTTAATTTGTAATTCATTCGATGCAATTGAAAGTTAACCAATTTTCACAAAATTGATAAAATTCATTAATAGAGAAACAAATAGAAGGTTGCAAGTTTTAGGAATGAAAATTCAATTATTAAAAGTTTGAGGACTAAATTGTACACTTCCAAAACTTTAGATGAATCAATTTCGGATGATTATTAAGGAAATTCAGGGAACATAGAATCAATAGCCAATCCGTGTAGGAAACAGGAAAAAAATGAGGTCATTCAACACAGGTTTGACAATTAATATAGAAACTTTTGAAAGTTGCTACATCAAATTTGATTTTGATTTAAAAGGACCAAAGTCGGACGAAAAATCTCAAATATAGACCAAAACTATCTAATTTGCATACTTTTGAACTTGAGATGGACCAATTTCAGATGATTTTAAGATTTGAATATAAAAGGACCATAGCTAAACAAAAAACCTAAAGTAGAGATCAAAACAAACAATGCTAAAAGTTACTGTGGTTGACCAAATTTGCAAATTACGATTTCGATTTCATTGTCGGTTGAGGAATGACAAGTTGCAATGGACCTGTACCAAGATGAGATGAGAAGTCCAAACATTGATGATGATGATGATGATGATACACTTGTGGAAGTATTCGCCAACTCATGATTTAATATTACGAGATATGATCCACAAGCAACAATTAATGACATTGATTTTCGTGGGATTGTTTCTCCTAAATTAAAAAATTGACAAGGGAGACTTGAATGTGTGAATTTTTATTCCCATACATTGCATTACTAAAGAAATAGATAAAACTCTTGGTGAATGCCCAAGTATAGGCAAAGAAAGATGCCTTGGTGAAATGGTAAATACGCGAGACTCAAAATCTCATGCCAAAGAGTGTGGAGGTTCGAGTCCTTTTCAATGCATAATATTGAGAATGTTTATTGAATGAGCAATTCACTAGCAGATGAAGCTGACCCATGGAAACTATAAGACTGGGTATTATATTACATTGAGAATTGCTTGTTATTGACCACTCTAGATGAACTAAAGAAATGTTACAAGATGACCACAGCCGTATTACAATCAATAATCCCATACATAAAATTTAGGGGGGAAGAAGCACTCAAATTTCCGTTGGTTGGAAAACCAAAATAGTGATAATTCACTAGTCCTAAATAAGAAAGGGATCTCCAATGAAAACTTTCTTGTGTAACTGTGTGAGACTTTGGATAATGCACCGATGATTCGACCCAAGAAAAAAAAATCCAAAAAGAAGAAAGCATGTAGAGAATAATGAATTAATCATAAGATAGTAAAACAAAGCTGTGACATTCAATGAAGTTAGAATTATCATGCAATACCTCGAATTCATTGTTTGCTCTGAAGTTGACTTTGTAATACGGCCAATGAAGAAGGCGGAGTATTCTGTATTCATAGTTGAGTTTGAGTCCAGTGGTGTAAGCAGAACACATTTTTACTAGGTTAAGTTCAATTTTGAAGAATACAAATAATGGTATGAAGTTAATCAATGCAAATATAGCAAGGCCACAAAAGCCCCATTTGAAGTGCAGTAAAAATAGTTTGCAAAGAGTTGGACTAGGATCGTAAACAAATGATTATTGGGAGGCAATCTAATTTTTTATATATTTATTTTTCGTATTTCGTTAAATATAATAAATAAAATAAAATAATAGGAAAACAAAAAAATGAGCAACCTAATTTTTTTCCTTTTTCATATTTTGAAAAATAAAAAAAAAATGTTCTGGAGTTTTTATTTTTAGTTTAATGTTATAACGAAGGTTATATAAGTCATTGCAAATTAAGCAAAGCCTAAACTCCCACGTGACTATATTTGTAATAATTACTTTTTTGTTTCTTGTAAGATGGAAATAATTTGCAGAAAGAACAAAGAAGACTTAATGAAGATAAAGGATCAACGGTTAGAAGAGAGTCTTCATAATACGACAGAAGAAGTTTAATATTTTGCAGAAAGAACAAAGAAGACTTAATGAAGATAAAGGATCAACGGTTAGAAGAGAGTCTTTATAATACGACAGAAGAAGTTTTGCTAACTTTCTCTCATTGAAAACAATGGTTACTTCAAATTTGGGGTTGTAAGTTTATGATTTTGTGGTAGTTGTTTTCGTATGTGATTTGTTTGTTTTTTCAACTATTGAAAATTAAAAAAAAAAAAAAAATTGTAATAGAAAACTGTAAAATTACAAAAAATAAAGAAAATAATTATTTAATTTTTAGTATGTTTGTTTGTGTGATAGTAGGATAGCTTTGCCAGGCAATGATGATTTTATTTGGAAATGTAACAATCCAAATTCTTTAAAATTCAAATTGTTACCAAATTCATTATGTTTGGGCAACTTAACGAGAATACTCTAAAAGAATATATGACAAAATGATTTACTCCGTAATACCTTTTTTTTTATATAAATAGTGAGCAATTAAACTATAAAAAGCGGAGGAAGTAGCCACATGATAAGATTATGTACACTTAATAATATGTAATTGAGTTTAAGGCTAAATAGGTGGAAATTATTCATTTGTTTACTTCCTCCGATCCCATTTCTCAAATTTTTATGCAAGATTGCTTTTGATTAAGTTTATTTGACGATGCATATTTCCATTCATCAATAATTACTGGAACACAAATTCTTTGGATTATTTCATGCATATCTTATTTTATCACATGATAGACAATAAATATACCATAACGATATTGATTTCACAAATTTAACATAATAAACAATGTAGTTCATAACCAATTCATGTTTCAAGTTTAAAAAAAAAAAAGATATTGATTTCACAAATTTAACGTAATAAACAATGTAATTCATAACCAATTCATGTTTCAAGTTCAAATAAAATGAAAGAGATAACTAAAATAACGAAACTAAAATTACTGCTGGAATTTAAAATCTTCACTCACATTACACTGGATATATTTATCCAGTCCAATGAAACTAGCCAAAACGATAGCACCTTATCGCTAGCCAACCAACGACCTATTCTAACCTGTAATGACCCAAAATTATTAATATATGTATTGAAGAAAAAACGAAATGATTGACATTCAAAACATTTTGGAATGGAAGTAGTGACAGATATACAAGTATCGTCTTAGTAGTTTTGCATTTGAAAATGTAGAATCAAAATTCAAAAATTGATCGACATGATAAACTTCATCAACAAGTGCCCAAGCCGATAACTTACGATTGCTCGCTTCAAAAGGATATTTTCCCTCTTATCCCTCACGACTTTCTGTTTTATTTCTCAGGATCCGAACGCATAACCTCTCCTTAAAAGAGATTTATTTTGAATTCTGGTACACCAGGATTCGAATCTTGGGAAATGCAACAGAAAAGCCGCGAGTGATAAGAGGGTAGATGTCCTCCCAAAGCGGATAATATATAAGTTAATAGCTTAGGTACGGAGGCTGAAT